CAAAATCGCTGAAATTTGGTGACCCGTATCGGGTAGGGGAATAATGCCGTTTAGCGACGTTGTAGGAATATCATTTTGACCATCAGTGAACGGAACGGAGGGATGTTGCTCCTTTTTATATTTGACAGTTGTGGAAGAACTTCAAATCACCGCGTATTGATTTAGCAAGTTATGGTTCGACAGGTCGATTTAGTGCACAGATTTTAGTACCATAAGTTTCTTCCGTAGCAGCATACTTTAGTTCAGAACAGCTGAACGTGAGATACCAGTCTGCACCGGTATGTTCACACTGGGTGAATAACCTTCCGACTGGGTCAACGCAGGTAGCTTTTCACCGGAAACGCACTCATCAAGCCCACTTGCGCTAATTCAAACAGGTAACCGGTTTCAAACTGACGATCCAAATTACGTCCGCCGTCCAAGAGGAACTCCGTGAAAATATTCGGTATCAGTGATGCCTTGCCACATTGCCACTGTCCCAATTTGTCCCGTCACTTTCATTACAGCATGACAGGATTAGTCATTTGAAGTGACTATGTGCGTTGCCCGACATTGGCTGCCCTTCCCACCTGTTAACAAATAATTTTGAACAATGATGAACTCTTACTTGGAATCTAGGAGTTATTTTACCGCCATCCCAAAGAAAATCAAATGGATTAGAATCCACGCTCGTGGTGTTTTCGACAACTAACTGGGTGTCAAAGACAGTGTTGATAATCTCCGGCCGTATGACCTATTCATGAGCGTCGGCTTTCCTCCAGGCTGCTAATCCTCACACTCGCCTTTATATATCCGTGCTCGATATGGAGTAAACATATCTTGGATGGATCTGATAGCAGATGATCTCCTGCAACCATTGGGCGAATGCGTTCAATAATAATGGCATCACCGCTTCCGTGTCATTATACTTGAATCGTAGCTTGCTTTTCGCTGTGCACCATGCTCTGCAAAATCTGTGGCGTAATATGCTTTGGGATATGACTTCTCACTCACAGATGCCCTCCATGTCATGTTTTTATCTTGGCGATTGGGCTCGGTTGTTCGTCTATATCATTCACGCACTTTCCTTATGAATTACGAATTTTTCACGTTCACTCACACACGTGTCTGCTTCATCCAGGCAGATTTACCGGCCGAAATTTGGTCACCCGTATCGTGTGGGCGAAGTATTTTCTGCAGCCACTTTGTACGAATCTCATATTGACCAACCACTTTACGCCGGGCAACACGACCAAACTCTCTCTCCTCAAATCACATTAGATTACTTTGTCATGCCGTTTGTTCATGTGAGATGCAATGTTAATTGCTTGCGCAATAAAGACAACCATAGGCAGTGGATCATTAGCTCCCTTTCCACAAGTCAATAATAGATCTTTTAGACGTGCGCAATGACTTCGCATCCACTGAGAAAGACGAATGTTCTTCCAGATACTCGGAACCATCCTCCGTGCCCTTATATATCACCATACATTCTTCAATTTTCTTCCTCGTGGAGGACCCACACTGCTGCCCAGACGCGTATTTTATCTAAAACTTATTTCTTCCCAATGGGTTTATGGGGCCGGGGTGTTTGGCTGTTTTGTATGGAGTATCTGCTTGTCATCAACTGTGACGCGTCAGCCATGAATTTCACGCGTTGACACAGGCAGAGTTTCCCATGTAGCGGTTACAGTGACAAGGGATTATTTCACGGTCGACCGATTGAACCATAACTGCTAAATCAATCCGCGGGGATTTGAAATGCTTGCATAGATGTCAAATATAAACGGAGCAACATTCTTCCGCTTCGTTCACTGATGAACATTGGCGCAGACAGCCTATCGCTAACCTCTGCCCGTTTGTTTCTTTTGCGCTTACGAATGAGTGGAACCACTGCTGTAGACACAATGCACTCGGAAATGTGAATAAATGAATGACGAGCAGCATACCGGGCACAACAACTAACACAACGCTACACACCACTACGCTAACCCGACAACGCGCTTATGATAATACCTCGATTGGTGATGAAACGTTTGCAATCAAATTGCTCAGGATACCAAAAAGCCAGGGACTATGTGCGCTACCAGAGCTACCAAAATGTTCCTCTACGGGCTACCAGAAATTCTTCAGCATGTTAGAAGTAATCGAGACAATTCAAGCGAAATGCTCGGAAACACCAGTCTAGGAACTCGATCCTGCCAGCGTCAGGTCACCTACAGTAGGAGTAGGAGTGCAACATAAACCATTCATTATTTGGAAAAAGATGGACTCGCAAGTGAACGCCCTAATTTGAAGTTCGGCATGCTGTGTAACGAAAGCGCACGTGTCAACTTTAAAATGAAAGCTACAATGTTGAGGAGATGGCGTATGGAGTTATTTTTAATTCGGATCTCGCATTGCTGTGCGGCAGCAATGTTGGTTTCTGCCGTACACAAGCAGAATGCAAGCAGTCGTATTGTTTTGGGAACCGATGATATCAGAAACATCCTGAAGTTTTCACATGAGTATATCTTGCTCCTGATAATCTGGTCTACCTTGCATTGTGAGCATTCCCAGGGCGGCCCAATTTTGAGATATCCAGAATGCAACGTTTATTGCGAGAAATCTTCGCAGATGAAACACTTCTTGGCGATGGATGCAGCGAAAATCACTAAATTTGCACCAGCCTGAGCAATTCCATTCCGTCCGGATGAGTGTTAGGTCCGATGAACGCGGATAAAGAGAAATGACAGGATAACAATGAATGTCAATTTGACGACATGTGTTTGCCGAAAAAGCACAGTAATTTGCACATGCTAGGATGATATCAGAATCATCCTGAAGATGTCACATGAGTATATCTTGATCCTGATAATCTGGTCTACCTTGCATTGTGAGCATTCCCAGGGCGGCCTAATTTGAGATATCCAGAATACAACGTTTATTGCGAGAAATCCTCGCAGATGAGGCACTTCTTGGCAATGGATGCAGCGAAAATCACTAACACTGCACCAGCCTGAGAAATTCCATTCCGTCCGGATGAGTGTTAGGTCCGATGAACGCGGATAAAGAGAAATGACAGGATAACAATGAATGTCAATTTGACGACATGTGTTTGCCGAAAAAGCACAGTAATGTGCACATGCTGAAACTCTGGTGTTAAATTGAGAAACCTGTGTTACCGGTGTGCACGATTTGACTTTGGACCCTAGGTGAGAATGCAATGGTGGTATATAGTTTGTGTGTATGTTGCCTCTGTTCTGGTTGACGGGCTCTTCTCATTTTGTTTTTGCGCCTGCAGTTTTCGCTTGCGCTGAACGGGGCATGCGGCACCGAGTTTGTGTTGATGAGTGCACTATGTTGTTTGGGCTAGGTCAATGAATTGCATACATAAAAAACAGTAGCATTTTCGAATGGAACAACGTGAGGTGAGATGTGCTCTTTTGTATATCAACGTAGAAGTTTAATTGTGCGCCACTTCACAAATAAAATCCAGAAGTATCGAAAGTACTATAACGTGGACGCAGGTCGTGATATTAGGTCAGGTCATTATTTTGACCTTCGTGTTCTGCTTCCTGCCAGTTTACAGCATTCGAACGGAAGGTGTAGTGCAAATGCATCCACATATTTAAAAGCAGCATTTGAGTTGAAAACAGCCAAAACTAGAAAGTATTTGTAATCTGTATTTGGGACAGTGTGAACTTTTTTCAACGGCTTCTGATGTGAAGCATACCCATTTGAATTATTCTAGGCGGGCTTTAGCAGACCAGTTTGGAAGAGACGCCACGTAAATTGACCGGTCATCCGGCCGACAAACACCAACCACCTGAATTGACCCGATGGAAAATGCCCTCACCAATGTGAACATAGCAGTGCACACTGTGTTCGCACGTTTAGCTATCCTTAGCTGAATAGTGCTGCCATTGAGGACCAATATTTTATTATATTCTGTGCACTGAAATCGTTAAATTGCTACTGCCATGTTGCAAGTCACGCGAATTGACGTGTAGCATTGAGCGGTGGTGCAGAATATTCGGCGTATTTGTAAGCTGATTTGAGGTATTCCAACAGCTCACTGCATGCATTGACTCTGCTAAAGACCACGTTGTGTGTCATCGTGTTAGTGCATTGTAACTTAATGGATTCTCTTTGCAAAATGGTGCACATGTGTTTCAACATCTACAGATGACTCAAAAATAAAACATGAATTTCGTACATAAGATGGTCTGGTGCAGCACATTCAGTTGCGTGGAAACACCACAAAGGAGAGAATTAACTGGCAGTCTCCCGCAACTGGGAGTTTGTTTGCCATTGAGTGTACTTCGTTAATTTGGTGCAATTTGTAGAAGAGAATGGTGACCTAAGCTCGTGGGCTGCGCCTGACTGATGGGCCCTAAGATCGGCAAAATCTGTCATCTGCTGAATACGAATTACCCAAGCAATTGTATTGATGATGTGGTCAGAATTTCACATCTTTTGCGCAAAATCTTCGTCGCTGATGTAATTCGAAGAGCTGCATTGCAGTGCTTGCAGCGAAAGTCAGTAAAATGCGCCTGGGATATGCCATTTCTTCCGCTTCAGTATTAGGCACACTATTAGAGCGGGAGAAATGATACCGATATAACGATAAACGCCAAAATGACCACATTTCATGTGCAGTCTTCATACCTACTTCAAAACAAACAGATGACTAATAACCAATGGGCACGATTCGACTGTGAAAGGAATGCACCAATGTAGTATGCCTTAGGTGTTGTGTATGTTCTGACACTGGTGTGGCTGTCGAGGCCACAAGCTTTGGTTTTCATATCTGCATTTTTGCCTTATCTTGAATGACGTCTCCCTGTCACTGAAGTCACGTTTTCACTGCATTCATGAGTGTACCTAGAAGATTGGGTCATTTTTACGTATTTGAAGTAGGTCAACCAATTTCGTACGGAATAAACGATAGAGATTTTGAATCGCTCATTTTGTGAAGCAGTAATCATTCTGAACTATAATCGGTGGTTTGTTGTGCGCCATTCTGCACACATTCCACTAGAATCAAACTGCTATAGCCTGGTTGCGACCGACTTTTACCTGGTCCATGTTAATCTACGGACAATGATGTTGCGCTTGGCGTCTCGCTACCTGAGACAGTTCAAATGCACATGTGTCCTCAGAGTGAACTGCTGATTGGAGTTGAACTCAGTTGTTACATTGCGGATGGAAATATGGGATTGGGTGCGTGAACCATTTTCTTTGGTCAGAACAATCTTTCCGACGCCTTAGGATCAGATCCAGCGGCAGTCATGTGACGTACAGGCACGCATGAATCGACTATTCCAGAAATAACAAGTTTGACGAATGTGGCAACCCGAACGAGCGCTGTGTCACAAAGCTTAATGTCCACAGCGTGCCACCGCATGTGCCTCACTGATTTCGTCTTCGCATACATTTTCTCGACAAACTCAAATTCGGGGGAAATAGTGAAAACGAAGTATGCTTCTTTGTGGGAACTGATGGGCCTAGGGTGATTCACATGTGCGTGAATGTGTAGGAAGTTGAAGTTTGTGAGTATCCCTGACACAAGCCCTCGTTGTTCCTATTTGACTGTCTAGTGAAGACCAGGTCATTTCGAGCCTACAATATCTCACAGTCGAATAACCCCTTTATTGTTCTTTCTGTCCTTCATTATTCTCATTTTACGCACTTGTTGATCTAGCTGGTAACCGGTTTTAGTGTGCGGGCTGAAATCTTCCAATAAACTTTTGAAATGTTGTCCATGTACTTTATTATGGCGTTAGGTGGCCATTTCTTCGCACCCATTAGATATATGTTTACATTTTTGGTACAAGCGACTATACATTTCACACAAAACAAACTACTCATTTCGGTGGAGTTCTTTGGACAATCGCACTTTTCGTCCATCCACCAGATAAGCAAAACCTCCGAAGCATGCAGAGGGGTAGGAAACGCGGTCTTAGGTTTTCCGAGTTGAAACGCGACTGTGTTTGTTTGTCAATACACGTAGAACCATTGGCAAAGACAGCGGTGGATGGTTGAAATCCCAGATCGACCAAAGTTCGAAAAAAAACCTTCTAACGCAACTATTCCAAAACACTAGCACTCCACCGAGTGGGATGAAAATTGCAGACGACGTTCGATAGAGAACAGCACGCGAATCGAACCAGAAGAAATATGCCTTGGGCTGGATCAGTATAGGTTCCCCTTCAGCCCAACACTTGGGTCAGCCAACATTACACAAAAAATCCCTCGGTCGACACCTAACAGAGATTTACCTGGGTCACACACTAGCCGCCGTATACCTCGATAAACCTCGTAACCTAGTCACTTGGGCTGTTGAAGCTTTCGTACAAAAAGTGAAATGCTGCCCAGCAATAAATCTGACAATTGTTACCTAATCATTCAGGGTACTATTCTACCGGTTTTCATCAACTTCGCGCCGTTATTTCGGAGTGCCCTGAGTTCATCGGTTACGCTTCAAGAAATCCCAGACGCCGGAGTGTAAGTGGACATATTTTCGTCATTGTTAACATTGTTTCTTACGCATATAACAATGTGAAAGTCCACGACCATGTGGTCCGTGAGGTTAACTGGTTTTCGGTTATTTCGGACTGAGTTCATCGGTTACGCTTCAAGAAATCCCAGACGCCGGAGTGTAAGTGGACATATTTTCGTCATTGTTAACATTGTTTCTTACGCATATAACAATGTGAAAGTCCACGACCATGTGGTCCGTGAGGTTAACTGGTTTTCGGTAAATAATGGATCCATTCATGAGCGGCGAGAACGTGGTGAACGGTGGAACGGAATTGATCAGCGCTTGGGTTTGTTCCATAAACAACGTGTATCCACTATGTTACCAGCGCACGTTGGACGCATCAGAATTCTCACGTCCGAACGGGAGAACGTGTTAACGCTCCAACGATGGGATTGGTATGGCCGAAGCATCATCCATCCGATGGCCCAATAATTTTTCCCGTTTTGACGATCGACAGGCCCGCATGCGCAGAATTTCCAATCACTTGGCGGCCTTTATGTCAGGGGCTCGGATTTGGAACCCTGACACTTCAAGAGATAAGCACCGTTGATGAGCTATAATAAGGGAGAAACTCGAGTCCATTGCTTCTCCTTCCCCTGGTGTGGACTCATCAGAATAATTATGCCAGGACAGGAGGACGACTGTCCAAAATGGAGCGATGTGAATGTGACCCTAAGGGGGTCAGGTTAGTTTGTGGCTAATTCTGGATGAATCCCAATTACTTGCAATCATGATGGTAGTTCATTTCACTGTTTAGATCTTTCAGCAATGGTAATCCATAAATATACATCAATTTTTGTCTTGTTCGAGTTACTCGGTGGATGCAACAACGCTCTGCCCAGGAATATCCGGAAAAATCCTCAGGTTCCTATCCTTGTGACTTCGTCAGCGGCTGCCAGATTCATATTGACATCTTGGATGGAACCGAAGGTGTGCAACTTGCATCCTTTGACGTGTATGGAGCCAGTTGTCTTCTTGTCAGATTTCCTGAGGCCGCCTTGGTGTGAATTTTTCGTCATATGTTGGTTCACCCAGTGTCGTATCTACATTCCTAATAACGTGTGATGGCACATTTATTCCGGATGTGTTAAAGAAAGTAACCATCCCGCGTGGTGGATTTCGTGACAGTTACAGTGAGACGTATTTACATGGATTTGCTGGAGTTCCTCAGGCCTTCTTTCCAATATGGAGTGCATTGGTTGGGTGGGTGTGAGCAGTAGTCTTTGAAAAATTGGATGAACATTTATTGAACAAGTTTGGATATAATATGACATTGATTAGGTTGTTGACAGCGCTTCCGCAACCTGCAACCGGTTTTGTCCTTGCTGTGGTATATCAGTTGGAAGCAGTTCTTGGGTATCCATTCAGGTCCCTGGCGGTAAGATGAATTGCATGGGTGAACTGTTTGCGATCATGGGTCTTTTCAGGCCTAGTTGAGTTGCACATCAGATTGCATTCGATGTCCGGTTTACTTCGTGCAGTGGCTTATGTAGTTGCCTTCTGGTGTGTGTGTGCAACGAATGTCTGCTTATCTCCGCAATACGTTGCGTGTGAAGTGTGAAATGGTAGAGTTTTGAAATCCCAAACCGAACAAAGTTCGTGGAATCCATCTTACGCAACTACCGTAACGCTAGCCTTCCACAGAGACAGATGGAAATTGCAGATGACGTTCGACAGAGAATAGCACGCGAACCGAACTAGAAGACCTAGGACCTAGACTGGCTCTATGAAGGTTCCCCTACGGCCCAACAATTGTGTCAGCCACCCTTACACAAAAATCCCCCGGTCGACACCTAACAGAGGTTCATCTGA